TGTGGATGGACCAGCGAAGAAAGTTTATATATATTTAGTAATAAATTTTTGAAGGAACGTATTTTGAGTTTTTTTTGCTTAAAATGAATATTTTTTTCTCTTTCATTTTATTTCTAAATTATATTGAAGTTTATATACAATATAATATTTAACGATAGACTTAGTTAAAATAGAATATCTATGTGTAGATAGATTTAGTAACAATGAAAGGATTTTATGGCTTGATTTATTTATTTTTTATTATTTTTTATTTATTTTTTGACAATTTTGATAACGATTCGATAAAACTTCTAAGTTCATAATTTTATACAATTTTTGTACTTTCAAGAAAGATGCCACAAAATACAGCTTCAATCAACAATAATTATCATTTAAATGTGATTTGGTCACTGATGGTTGGCACTTTGTAATATATATTGTTTTGGGATCCCTGTGGTTTCTGTTCTGCRATGCGCATGATACTGTGTGCAAATAACCCAAACAAAATAAAATAAAATTTCAACATGACAAAAGGAAAAGAAATATTATGAAATCACCATAACATTTCAAAGATGAGTAATTCTAAAAAAATCCGAAATTAAATGTGTTTGTATTGCTCATGCGCAAAGCCGTGCTATGCGTGAGATCGAATTTAATAAAAATATACTCCAAAATGTCGCTTTATTTAACAAATGGTCTTCCATTTTGCAATTGAAAAYGAGTTTTATCAAATGTTTAAAGTTTGAATTAAATTCATCGCGCTGTGAGCGCCCTATAATCCCACATGGYTAGCATATATTTCATTACGTATAGTTCTAGCGTGACCACTGATCGMTAAAAGGGCCTTTGCATCGTTGGCACATGGGTTCGTATGGACCTGTGCGGAATCGCCATCAAGAGATTTCGGAGGCATAATATTTGGGAATTTGTGGCAGCTAGCGTCTCATTACGCCGGCGCCCAAAATAACTCGAAAGTAGAATTAAGTTTTAAAAGTATTGCGAAAGGAAATGGCTGGTTTGGGAAGGACTTATCAAATATATTTGGATGATGAATTGTAATGAATCCGAATTCATTAAAATAACAATATTTTATGAAAAGACCGACTTTGTTGCCAAAAAAATATCTACATAGGAAATTTTGGGAATTTTACGCGTCGATTGCAGTCTTCGTAACAGACATGCTTTTGTTTAATTTCACAAAATAAGTTCGAGTCACAAATAAATACAAGTGTTTGAAAAAAATTGTAATAAAGAYAAGCTTACAAAAAGAAGGTAAAAAAAGAAGAAAAGAGTTTATTACAGTAAAAAAAAAAGAAAAAAAAAAGAATTGATACCAGGAGTGGGGTTCGAACCCACGCGTACATTCGTACATTGGAACTTAAGTCCAACGCCTTAACCACTCGGCCATCCTGGTGATACACGTGAGTAAAGGACTCAAAAAGTGTAATTATTGTCGGGGCCWCTGAAAACTAACTAAGTATTACTTCCATTAGCAAATATTTTACTATTACGAAGTGTTTAGAACGTAGGACCAAGAAAATCCGTCAAATTTTACAAATTTCATGCATAAACTGATATCACGAAAAAT